GAATAAAAAGTAGAAGAGCCAGGCACGGGGGGAGTGTGTGTAGGGACCCTTCAGTGACTGCTCGTTTTACTCCCAGGTGAGTCTTGACAAATTGCTTTCTTAGTCACACTCTGTGTGAAGGCAGTGTTTGCTCGCTCGTTACCTGAATGCTGGCCTTCGATTTTCATTTCAAGGGGAAGACAAACATCTTCGAAGAAGACTTCCTCGTGGGGGCCGGAACCTGCTTCGTCTTTCCCACCGCATCTTCCAAGCTTAGATGAGGACCTTTAGAAAGGATGACCTTCTCCACCATCTTTAATCCCTTGGCCCTTTGTCAAGAATAGAGGAGAAATGTGGCATCACCCTAATAAAGGAGCCCAAAGTTAACTCTGGGATGGCCTTTCTTCTTCCTAGAATGAGAGGAAAGGAGCGCAGGTGGCTCCGTGCTTGAGCGCTCGGCTGCTCACTGAAAGGTTGGCGGTTTGAACCCACCAGCCACTCCTTGGAGAAAGACCTGGTGCTCTGCTTCTGGGAAGATCGCTGCTGTTGTTAGGGGCTGTTGGGTTGGTCACAACTCATAGCAACTCCATTGGCAACAGAGAAAAGCACTGGCCGGTCCAACACCATCCTCACAGCCATTCTATGTGTGAGCCCATCATTGCAGCCACGTGTCAGTCCCTGTCGCTGGGGGTCTTCCTCTTCACTGACCCCCTACTTTACTGAGAATGATGTTCTCCACGGCCTGGTCCCTCCTGATGAGGTGTTCAGAGTATGTGAGGTGAAGGCTCACCATCCTCACTTGTAAGGAGGCTTCTGGCTGTACTTCCTCCAAGATAGATTTGTTTATTCTCCTAGCAGTCCATGGTGTATTCAGTATTCTTCTGCCAGCACCATAACTCAAAGATTACAGCCTTGGAAATCCTAGTTGTTGTGCTATTGAGTCTGACCCCTCCTTGGGTTTCTGAGGCGATATCACTATGGACATAGATTGCCCAACCTTCCTTCCATGGAAATCCTAGGGGGCAGTTCTACTCTGTCTTGTAGGTGGCTCTGAGTAGAATCAACTTAGCACCGAACAACAACAGAATGAGAGGTGGGGAGGGATCAGGATGCGTGGAGAAGTTCTTGGCTGGGTGGGTGGGCCTTGTGGAGGGGAGACAAGCTCCTCAGCCCAGGAACCCTTGGGAGTAATTGCAGTCTGTGCTCTCTGGAGAATCATAGCTTTGGGTGGATCACTTGCGGGTTTGTATTCAACCTTTTACAGGAGCCCTCGTGGTACAGTGGTTAAGTGTTTCAATGCTAACCAACAGGTCAACAGTTCAAGTCCCCAACTGCTCCGTGGGAGAAAGGCTGTCTGCTTCCTTAAAGAATACAGCCTTGGAAACCCGGGGCAGTTCTACTCTATTCCATAGGGTGGCTCTCAGTCAGAATTGACTTAACAGCAGTGGGTTTGGTCTTTGGTTTTCAGATGAAAACCTTTTCATTGGAATTTGGGCCCATCCGGGTAGTCCAGGGTATCTCATCTCAAGATGCCTGCATCTGCAAAGACCCTTTAACCAAATAAGGTCACACTCACAGGCTTGGGGTGAACATTTCTTTTTTGTCAGCGGGGAGGGAGGGCACCATTCAACCCACTGCATTCACATCCTGGGAGAACCCAGCAAAGTGGTTAAGAGCGTACTCTCACTACGGCTTACCCACCAAAACCAAACCAGTTACTGTGAGTGGATTCCGACTCACGGTCACCCCACATGTGCAGAGCAGAACGGCTCCACGGGGTCTTCCAGGCTGTGAAATCTTGGAAGCAGATCACCAGGCCTGTCTTCCAAAGGGCCTCTGGGGGGGTTCGAACCACTGAGTTTTTGGGTAGTGGCTGAGTGCTCAGCCTTTGGTGCCATGCAGAGACGCCTCCGTGGCCTGCAGGGCCTGCCAGCTGAGGCCCCTGTTCACTTCCCTCCCTCACCTCACATCCTGCCCTCGTCCCCTCCCCTCCCAGGTGTGGATCCAGCAGGAATTCCCTCCTGGCTTGCCTCCAGCCTCAGACAGGAAGGAGCCTCGGAGCCCGGGCTGAGTGCACCCTGCGGTACAACACTCCTTCCTGTCCGCTCTATCGAATTGACCCACCCTGTCCTCTCCCCGGGTGTGGCTGGGTGGTGCAGTTTGCGTGCTCGGCTGCTGCCTGAAAGGTCGACGGTTCGAGTCCACCCCGAGGGTTCTGAAGACGGCCTGATGGTCTTCCGAGGGTCAGCCATTGAAAACCGTGTGGAGCACAGTTCTGCCCTGACGCCCACGGGGTCGCCACGAGGTGGAATTGGCTCAACAGCAACTGGCTTTGATCTTTTGTTCCTTTGTTGCCCTTTCGGCGAGCTCTCTCGGTGTCCTTATTTATCCTTATTTGAGCTTCCCTGAAGTGGTCATTTTTATTTCCTCCTCACACTTCAACGGAAGCTTCAAGAAGGCAAAATACCTTATCACTATGCTGTTCCCAGCACCTACAGTAACCCCAGGGGCTGTTATGATGAAAGCGTTGAGCTGCTAGCCAGAAGGTTGGTGGTTTGAAACCACCAGCTGCTCCTCGGAATAAAGATGAGGCAGTCTGCTTCTGCAAAGATTACAGCCTTGGAAACCTCATGGGGCAGTTCCACACAGTCCTACATGGTCTCTGGGAGTCGGAATCCACTTGACAGCAGTGCTTTTTTTTTTTTGTAGCATGAACCTGCATTGCCCAATACAGTAGCCACTAGCCATATGAGGCAATTTAAATTAAAATGAATAATTGATTTATTAACTGATTATAAACCAATAAATAGCTATTTAATAATTAATAAATTTAATAAATAATAGATCTATTAATTGGTAAATAAAAGTAATAAATAGTCATCTTAAGTGATGAATACAATTAATAAATGATTAATCACATGCTATCATATTTACTAAAGGGCCCTGGTGGTGCAGTGGTTAAGTGCTCGGCTGCTAATCCAGGAGCTCCTTGAGAGAAACATGTAGCAATTTGATGTATGTTTTCTCAACAACAACAAAATTAATGAAATTTTATATATATTAAAATTTAGATTTTAAAAGGTGGCACCAAAATGATGAATTTCCTAATCTCTTATCCTGGGGTCACTCCCTTTTTGTCATTCTTTTGTTCTTTTCTGAGACCATTTTTAAAATTAATTTAACAGACTCTTGTGGGCTGAACTGTGTCCCTCCCAAAATATGCGTTGAAATCCTAACCCCCTAGCTTACAGCCTAGGAGACCCTGTGGGACAGTTCTACTTCGTCACTCGGAATCGCTATGTGTCAGAATCAATTCCATGGCAGTGGGTGTGGTTTGGGCTTTGCTCCCATAAAGACTGACAGCCTTGGAGACCCTGTGGTGCAGTTCCACTCTGTCCTCTAGGGGCGCTGTGGGTCAGAATCGACTCCACGGGAGGGGGTGGTTATGGAGAAAAACCAAGGAATGGGCTTGGGGTATCCAGGACTGAGAAGGGGGGTTTCCATTTAAAATAAGGTGCTGAGGGAGTTCACTGAGCATGATGGGAATATCTGGTGGGACAGCATTTCAGACACAGGGAAAAGGCCCTGGGGCAGGTGTGAACCCGCAGCGTCAGGGGAACAGCAAGGAGACCAGGTGGCTGGAGAGGAGCAGATGGCAAAGGGTCTAATCGGTTCCTAGAGCTGCCACAAGAAGTGGCACAAACTGGGTGGCATCGAAGCACAGACACCACCATATTTACTCATGTGTTCTGTTTCATGGCTGCCTCTGCCCGCCTCTGCCCACTATAATGGGGTCTGGAATTTTCTCTGGTTTATTCACCAGTTCAGGTCCATGTCTCCGAGAGTGCCTTTCACATGTTGCTGTTGTTGTTATGTGCTGTCAAGGCGGACCC